AGGCAATTCTTGCCTAGTGGCTGTCTCATCACAACTGGAGTAACTCCAAAGACGCTCAATTTCTTCTTAGAATCCAAGACAGGAAGCTGTCAGGAGCAGATAGGTCTCTAATCAAAATGACCCTTAATGCAGAAATGTTTGTAAAGACAATTCTGTGGACTTCTGACCTTTTGAAAACCAACTATGCATGTAAGGAAATCTGGACTGTTGTCTGTTAACTCCTCTCAGCTATTTCTAAATAAAATATAGAAAACACCCTAACAATAGACTCAGAGCCATGAATTTGCTATAGGCCTTTAACTCACAGGCTAACCATCTCAAATCAGTTAAAAAAGTTAAAGAAGGACTGAGCCTAAGCCTTGTATTCCTAAATGTGTTATATAGGCACAATGCCTATAAGAGTAACAATATTAATCTCACTTTTATATCAATAAGAAACTTGTACCAATGAAAACCTTAAATTTGAAATCAAAGTAAATTATAACTTCAACTTAATAACAATTATACAGATTTCTACCAATACATTATGGCTATGCAATAAATCCTAGCTATTCCTCCCTGTTCCAACAAAACCACTACTTTCCCCTAGAAAGACAGCCCAATATTAACCATCTCAGTCCCCAAGCCCAGGGAATAGGGGCGCCAACTCTTCATTAATTTCTTCAAGCTGATAATGGGCATTGAGATATTAGAAGAGGGGTTGGGGGAAGAGTAAATTGATAAACCTCTGATGTCTGTGTCTTCACTGCATTCAGCTGAGATTCCAGGACATCAGAGGTTCGAGCAGGTCTGCTCAGCTTGCTTGATGAGTAGATACACCAAGGCTGTGTATTCTGCAATATACAATTTTCAAAACAAATTTTAGTATCAAGATATTTTTTGTTTGAATTCTGGAATCTAGTCTTCTGGTGGCCTGTCTCTATCATATATAATCCATATAATTCTGGGAGTTTCTATGAAGGTGTGCTCCCACCATCCTCCCATTCCCGCCTCCCTGCTCTGAAATTCCCCAACATTAGGGAATCCAAACTATTGGGTACCAAGGCCCTCCACTCCCACTGATGCCTGACAAGGCCACCCTCAACTACCTATACAGGTGGACCCATGAGTCCCTCCATTTTTGTTCTCGGGCTGGAGGTTTTAGAATGGCTATTCCAGCTTGTTTCTTAGGATCATTCGCTTGAAAAATTGTTTTCCAGCCTTTTACTCTAAGGTAGTGTCTATCTTTGTTACTGAGGTAGGTTTCCTGTATACAGCAAAATTCTGGGTCGTGTTTACATATCCAGTACATTAGCCTATGTCTTTTTATTGGGGAATTGAGTCCATTGGTGTTGAGAGATATTAAGGAACAGTGATTGTTGCTTCCTGTTATTTTTGTTATTAGAGGTGGAATTATCTTTGTGTGGTTATCTTCTTTTGGATTTGTTGGAAGAAGATTACTTTCTTGCTCTGTCTAGGGTATAATTTTCCTCCTTGTATTGGAGCTTTCCCGCTAATATCCTTTGTAATGCCAGGTTTGTAGAAAGATATTGTGTAAATTTGGATTTTTCATGGAATATCTTGGTTTCTCCTTCTATGGTAATTGAGAGTTTTGCTGGATATAGTAGCCTGGGCTGGCATTTGTGTTCTCTTAGGGTCTGTATGATGTCAGTCCAGGATCTTCTGGATTTTATAGTCTCTGGTGAGAAGTCTGGTGTAATTCTTATAGGTCTGCCTTTATATGTTACTTGGCCTTTTTCCCTTACTGCTTTTAATATTTTTTTCGTTGTTTTGTGCATTTGGTGTTTTGATTATTATGTGACAGGAGGTATTTCCTTTCTGATCTAGTCTATTTGGCGCTCTGTAGACTTCTTGTATGTTTATGGGCATCTTGTTCTTTAGGTTAGGGAAGTTTTCTTCTCTTGACTCTCTTCTATACCTATTATCCTTAGGTTTGTTCTTCTCATTGTGTTCTGGATTTCCTGGATGTTTTGTGTTAAGAACTTTTTGAATTTTGCGTTTTCTTTGACAGTTGTGTCAATGATTTCTATGGTATCTTCTGCACCTGAGATTCTCCCTTCTATCTCCTGTATTCTTTTGATGCTGCTTTCATCTATGACTCCTGATTTTTTTCCTAGGTTTTCCTTCACCAGGGTAGTCTCCCTTTGTGATTTCTTTATTGTTTCTACTTCCATTTTTGTGTCCTGGATGGATTTGTTCAATTCCTTCACCTGTTTGGTTGTGTTTTCTTGTAATTCTTTAAGGGATTTTTTGTGTTTCCTCTTTAAGGGCTTCTACCTGTTTACCTGTGTTCTCCTCAAATTCTTTGATAGTGTTATTTATGTCCTTTTTAAAGTCCTCTATCATCATCATTAGAAGTGATTTTAAATCTGAATCTTCCTTTCCTGGTGATATGGGGAATTCAGGACTTTTTAGTGTGGGAGAACTAGGTTCTAATGATGCCAAGTACCCTGAGTTGCTGATGCTTATGTTTTTGTGCTTGCCTTTCCCCATCTGGGTCACCTTAGCGCTACCTGCCCTGTCTCTTACTGGAGCCTGTCTTTCCTATTATCTTGGTTGTTTCAGAACTGTGTGGGGTGGGTGTTACTACTAGGGTTAGAGCTGGGGCCCAAGATCTGCTCAGTGCTAGGGCCCAGACCAGAAGGAGCCAGTGCTCTGGGCCAGGAGTGAATTCCTGGCTCCTAGTGGGTCCCAGTTACTCCCTGTTTGGGGGGGGGGTTGCTGTCTCCTTACCTAAGATACTGCCTGGGTTAGAGCTCCTGGGAGGCCCACTTCCTCTGTGTTTTGTGAGATTGGGTGCAGAGCAGCTGCCCAGGATCTGCTCAGTGCTAGGGGCCAGACCAGAAGCCAAGTTTTTTAATGTTAATTTTTAAAAAATGTATGTGTGTGTGTCTCTCTGTTTGTATATACCACATGTGTAAGTGTGAAATGGCGGTGCAGAAAGAGGGCATTGGTTATGGGCTGCCTGTCATGGGTGCTGGGAATTGAACTCAGGTCCTCTAGAAGAGCAGTAAGTGCTCTTAACTGCTGGGCTATTTCTTCAGCTCCAGGCCAAGTTTCTTTGTGCTTTTCATAGAAGTATGTCCTTTTACTTTAGGGTTCCTATTTTATTTTTAAATTATACATTTGTAGCCAAATGTGCTAGCCAAATGTGTAGCCAAAGTGCTTGTATGATTATTATATGAGGAGAGGCAAAGTTCTATTTTGTCAATCATTTCGTCTTTGGTGCCTAGCATGATTGCTGAAACATAGGATATACTCAATGACTTAGTCAAATAAAGAACAAATACCTATTGTAGCATCAGTAAATTTCAACTCAGCCACAGCAGCTTAGATAATAGATCATAGGTTTTGAATTGTAGGAAGGACCCTTTAATATAATAGCTAGTATTTACTGGGCGTTTATACATGTAGCAGTTAGCATTTTAAATGTTTTACATGCATTATTTCAGTTATTACTCAAGTCCACATGCACACACACACAATTTATATGTTACATGTTGGGAAACAGAGATAAATCTTGTTAGCAAGAGAAGCTTATTTTAAAATCCAGTCTGTCTGATTTCACATTTCATGCTCTTTTTTAAAAAAAGATTTTTCAAACTTTTTATTTTTATGTGTGTATGTGAACTTTGCATTGTGCACCCCAATCCCCCTCATCTTCCCCTCCCTGCAAACCTGCCCTTTACCCTTGCAATGCCCCCCAACAGAGTGTGTCTCACGGTATTCCCTTTTGTCCACACTTCCTTCCTTGCAAATATTTATTTCGGTGAGCCATTGGTCTGGTATGAGGTCTCTGGTTTCTGCTACTCCATCAGTACTGGAGCCTCACTGAGACTCCTCGAATATCCTGCTGTTGCCCTGTGCCATGGAGATCCTGTATACAGTTTTGGATCTGTAGAACGGGCACTCCAGCATTGATGGGGTACATGTTGGGGTGGACCAATTGAAAGCTCTGGATCTGGGCCTGAGAGGTATCAGCGATGGATGGTAATCGCACTGGCTCTCATGCTCTTGTGGCCAGCTCATCTGTAACTCGTGCAACCAGGGCTAGCCCTACCCTGCTGCCCAGGCAAGGTGCAGGGCCTGCCCATGTCTGGGGCAGGACTAGCATTCTCTCATGACCCCAGTGCCAGCTCTCCCACTTATCCTAGGTGGCAAGGGGCAAGAGTGGGGAACACTGCCACATGGCAGACAAAAGGCAGGGCCAGCTCTCCCACATTCACACCCTTGAGGACGGCTAACCTGAGGCTTCCACAATGTTCAGGGCCCGCTCCCAAGTACTGTGGCTGATATGGGCAGGGTCAACTCTCCTGTTCTCATGCCTCTAGGGCCAGCTGTCCCATAATGGGGCCAGTTCTACACGGCCCTTAGACATCAGCATGTTCCCAGTAGCATCCCAGACTAGGGACATCTGCCTGGCCTTTGGTGGCAACAGACCCCTGCTTCTGCAGAGCTGTGGACACAGACGTGGCCCCCCAATGGCAGCACAGGCCAGGATTTCACCATGGTTCCAGGTGGCATCACCCGCTACTCATGTCAGGCTGATTCTCACTACCCTCGAGTCTCCAGTTCTGCCTCTCTTCATTGTGCACACATGCTTCTCTTTCTTTCCCTTTTCTCCACCACGTGTTTGCTCCTCTTAGTGGCACCTGGTCTCTGAGTGACCAGGGTAATTTCAGGAGTGATCTCAGGAGTGCAATGCCCCACCAGGCAGGGGTCATCTCGAGCATGGTTTGGCCCACCCCCAGGCCTGAGGTGTGCCAGACTGGTATTCATCTCAGGCTAGCTCCTTGTCTGGGCCCCATGGTACCAGGCTCACTCCTCTACTGGCCCACCCGAGTGACCGTCTGTCACAGGCTTACTCCTGCTTGGGGCCTGTGGTCCCAGTCGGGGTTCTTCTAGTATCAGGCTTGCTTACCATCCTGGGAGTTTGTCCAGGCCTACCTGGCCCCGAAGTGGTAGTTATCACAGCCTCCCTTTATCCCCCAACCCCAGGGAATGTTAGGCTACTAACTATTCAGATGTCTATAGGTCAGAACACTGAGCTTAGACATAGCCCCTCCCCTATCTGCCACCCACTGACACACATGTGACACAGCAGTCACATCTGCAATGCCTCCAGGGTCAGGGATTTTTTTTAACTCGTCATGACTTTAATGCTAAGCCATGTAGTCCAATCTTATTTCCAGATGGGAAAATTGAAACATGGCGGAAAATGATTTTTATGTGTTTAAATTAAATTTAGTAGCAAAGCCAGGAGTAGAGTCCAGGTTTCATGATTAATAATTTGCAGCGTTATATTTGCCATCAACGTTAAATTAGTTCTAACAATAATGTTTCATATAATAGCTTTTCTAATTTTATCTTCAAAATGGCATCTTTCTCCAAATGAAGATTTAAATCTTTTTTTAAAGATTTATTTATTTTATTTACATGAGTACACTGTCACTGTCTTCAGACACACCAGAAGAGGGCATCAGATCCCATTACGGATGGTTATGAGACACCATGTGGTTGCTGGGAATTGAACTCAGGACCTCTGGAAGAGCAGGTAGTGCTCTTAACCACTGAGCTATCTCTCCAGCCCGAAGATCTAAATCTTTTCGAGGCTGCTTACTAATTTTCTTAGTTGGAAACCAAATAAAAAGAGAAATATTTGCAGCATCTGAAGTGACCTCTAAAAACCAAAGTAAGAACTATGAAGATGGAGCCAGGTATGGTGGCACATGCGTTTAACCTTAGTGCTTGGGAGGCAGACATAGGCAGATCTCTGTGAGTTCGAGGCCAGTGTGGTCTACATAGCCAGTTTCAGGACAGCCAGGGCTGTTACACAATGAAAACTTGTCTCAAAAGACCAAAACCAAGAAAAGGAAAAAATGAACAAACAAACAAAACAAAACAAACAAACAAACAAACAAACAAAACAACAACAAAAGAACCACGAAAAGAACCATGTAGATGTATGTGCATGTATCTAATAAACAACAGTAGTTGTTAAGCAAGACTTGACTGTTTATTTTTACTAAGACTTCACAAGTGTGTTCTTCAATCTTCATGACAAGTCTGAGACGGATGACACTGTTAAGCTAGAACACTAGATTATGTAGTTAAACTCCCCGCTCCCCGACCCTGCTCCCTCCCTGTGTGTGTGTGTGTGTGTGTGTGTGTGCATGTGTGGTATACTGGTCTCAAACCCAGGGTAGTGTGCTCAATCACTGAGTTACACTGCCAGCTAGCACTATACGTTGGTTTTTGGGCAGAGACTTTGAAACACAGAGATTAAAGTTATTAATCCCAAATATCACTAGCATGCTCTGACACCTGATTCCCAAATAAGAGGAAGAGTAGAAGGCAAGATTTTTAGGAGTGACACTTGGTGACATTGATTCTGCTATTACAGTGGATAGAGATTTTTCCATTCCAAGTTCTGATGAACCGTAGCAATTTCCCTTTGTATGTGATTGTTATTTTAACCTGCTACTGGCAGACAGTTGCTATGGTGCATACCTATAATCTCAGTACTTTAGAGACCAAGGTGGGAGGCGTTCCAGTTTAGTGCCTCAGGCTACATAAGGAGGCTCATCACAAAACAAAACCTAGAGATGGAGATGTGGTTCAGTGAGGGACCTGGTTACATATAAGCACTCACACTGAGCAACACACAACCACCTGTAACTCTAGTTTTGGGGAATCTAACACCTTATTGTCTCCTCAGGGACCTGGGCATATATGGTGCACATCCAGAAAAGCGTGTTGTGTACAAGCTTCACTAAGTACAGAAAAGTTTTATATGTGCATGCTTGAACATATAAAACTAAAAACAAATGTCAGTGAAAATGTGGGGAAAGAGGAGCTCTCATTCATTTTTACTATGACTGCAAACTGTACAGATACTCTGGAAATGAGTGTGGTGAATTCTCAAAAAGCTAAAAATAATTTTGGTTGTTATTAGGGAAGAAATAGAATGAGCAAGAATGCAAAAATGCTTTTCTCCATCATAACCCTTGATTTCAAAGAAATACTTGTAGTTTGGTGAGACTGAGATGTCAGTTTATTATTTCTTGTGACTAGGGAATCATAAAAGAAATTATGCGAAACAACTAAACTATCTAAAAATAAATCTATGACCCAGTTATGCTACTCCTTGGCATAAGCTGAAAGGACTCAACATCCTACTTCACAGACACTTGCTCAGCCATATTCTATTCACAAAAGCTAGGAAATGAAAACAACCTAGATGTCCTTCAATCAATGAATGGATAATGAAAATGTGGTACATGTATACAATGGAATTCTATTCAATTGTAAAGAACAATATGAAATAATCAACTTTTCAGGTAAATGGATGGAAATAGAACATATACCCAGTGAAGTAATGCAGATTCAGAAAGTCAAACATCACATGTTCTTTTTTTGTGGTCCTTGTTTCAAATCCTTAGATGTGAGTATATAACCTGGAATAACCACAGAAACCAGAAAAGTAAAAAGTGACCAAGGGGTGAGAGAGGAGCATTAGAAAGGAGGATAGAAGGGTAAAGTGATATGAAGAGGAAAGGAGGGAGTCTTTAACTGTGAGAAGGGAGGGAAGGAGATACAGGTCGGAGGCCAGATAACACTAAGGATGTTTGAAAACCTAAAGGGAATCACATGACCTAATTTTATCAAGACACACATATACAGTTTGAATATCTATAACACTTAGGGGTAATAATATTCCCTTCAAGGCCATAAATTATTTTTATAAAAATCCCAGTAATAGGCATGAAAAACTTCTCTCAAATTGTTGGTCAGGGGAGTCCAAGATCCTGCTAACAATAATTACCGTTGCCTTTGGTTTCTTCCCAGAGGCTAAAGGTAAGGGCATATTACCGAAGATACCCTTTGGGCACAGGGGTTGGAGGAACAGAGTTGGAACTGGCTTGGAAGCCTTTTACCTAAAGAATGGTTCTCATAGTATAGGAGGGTACAATGCAGGCTGCCAAATGGAGGGGAGCAATCAGCAGTCCAACCTAGCTAAAAAGCCCATGAGCCGCAACAATTGATAAACTGGTAAGATAGCCTCAGTAATGCAATAGTATCACTCTTATTTGGGGGGAGGGGAGGAAGCAAACATCTAATTGAACTAAAGACCTTCTCAACAGGAAGGAATTCTCTGGTACTATAAACCTAGCCAACTAGGGTCTGGTTATAGACCTACTGTCAGTTTCCTAAACCAATATGATTCCTAGTTTCTAAATAATTATCTTTATATCTGCTGATAAGTATAGCTACACTACCTAATCAAAAAAGCTTGTTTTGCATCAGATGGAGACCATTACAGAAATCCACAACTGGTAAATATAAAGAGAATCAGTGACTGCAGGATGCCCAGCCACAATTGATACATCTGCAATGCAACCCCTACCATTAAGGCTCAGTGCAAATCAGATAAGAAGGGGCAGAAAGATTGTAAGAGGCAGAGGCCCAGACACACATTAATAGATCATGTCCCAAAGATATGACAGGGGAAAGTGAATCCATAGAGTCTCAACAACATGGTTTCCTGAACAAGAATAGCATAATGACAATACCAGTCGACATGTCAATGAGAACAGGGAAACTTGACATGGTCCCAGTCCTAGATGAAGAGCCAAGGTAGTCAATGGCTGCTGAGAGAGGGATAATTCAAGGACAAACTCCCACTGGAGTCAATAGATTATATATATATTGTATGCGTGTGTGTGTGTGTGTGTGTGTATGTATGTATGTATGTATGTATGTATGTATGTATGTAACAGTAATAATTAAAGAAGAGATCAAAAATTTGGGATGGAAAGACTTGGTAAAAATTAAAACAAGGGCTGAAGCTATGACCCAGCACTTAAGAGAATTTACTGCTCTTACAGGGGACCAAGTTTTGGGTCCTAGCACTTACATGAGGTTCACAAGTATTAAAGAACAGCTGACTCCATTTTTTTCTTTTTTAGTCAAACAATAGACTGATTTATTCCTATATTGTTCTTTTTATTGAATATTTTATGTATTTACATTTCAAATGTTATCCCTTTTCCCTGTTTCCCCTCCAGAACCCCCCTCTCCTATTCCCCCTCCCTTTGCTTCTATGAGAGTGCTTCCCCTCCCACCCACCCACCCACTGCCACCTCACCATCCCGGCATTCGCCTACACTGGGGAATTGAGCCTTTACAGGACCAAGGGCCTCTCCTCCTATTGAAGCCAGACAATGCCATCCTCTGCTACATATGCAGCTGGAGCCACAGTCCCTCTGTGTGTACTCTTTGGTGGTCTAGTTCCTGGGAGCTCTGGGGACTCTGGTGGGTTGATATTGTTGTTCTTCCTATGGGGTTGCAAACCCCTTCAGCTCCTTCTGACCTTTCTCTAACTCTCCCATTGGGGACCCCATGCTAAGTCCAATGGTTGGCTGCAAGCTTCCGCATCTGTATTTGTCAGGCTCTGACAGAGCCTCTCAGGAGACAGCTATATCAGACTTCTGTCAGCAAGCATTTCTTGGCATCCACAATAGTGTCTGGATTTCATGTCTGTATATGGGATGGATTCCCAGGTGAGGCAGTCTCTGGATGGCCTTTCCTTCAGTTTCTGTTCCACACTTTGTCCCCATATTTCCTTTAGACAGGAGCCCTTCTGGGTTAAGAATTTAGAGATGGGTAGATGGCCCGATGCCCCAAACAGGGGCCTTGCCTAGCCTCTGGATATGGTCTCTACAGGTTCTCCCTCCCCTTTGTTGGGCATTTGAGCTAATCTCATCCCTATTGGGTCCTGGGAGCCTCTTGCTTTCCTGGCATCTGGGATTTGCTGGTGGCTACCCCGAGTTCCTTATCTCCTATATTGTTCTTAATGGTGTTTTTCTCCTCTCAAATCAACGTTATTTTTTGACTTATTCTTCCTCAATAATCTTGTGATTCACATGTTACAAATTGGTTCCATCATTGCATGCTATGTTACAGGAAACATCTGATCATAAACCCACAAGTATTTTTCCCATGATCATAAAAATAATGCAAGTTCAACTTTTGTAATCGCTTGCTTGCTTGCTTATAAAAAGGCCCTCCTGCTCTTAGTTTGGGAAGCTTTCTATAAGTTTGGTCTGACCATAAAAATTAAAATGTTTTA